CCATTAAAGATAAATCGAGGTTACGTAACATACGAGAGAAACAAATGCAGTAACATAGTAACATATAATTTTTTATATTAACTTTTTACAAAACTCCTCACAACATATTATCTTTATAACATGACTTCTTTTTATTGCTTCTAATTTAAAAAAGTTTTGAAAACAAATAGAATATACAACGTGAAGCGTAAAAATTATATTTAATTTAATATATTTTAATTACATTCAACTCTCTTTTTCAAATGACAAATGGATGCAAAAATAAATTTATAATTTTTTTGTCTGTAACTGACACTTTTTTGTAAAAAAAGTTTGATGATATTGTCAATATAATGGATTTTTTCAATATAAAGACAGCGCGTTTGAATTACACAACATCGCTTTTCCATGTAAAGCCATATTTTTGTCTCACAAATACAGAACTCACGCATGTATATTTTTGTTAAAATCACAATTTCGAATTAAGTCACGCACCACCGGTGCGAGAAACGATGATGTAAAATTCTATATTTTACAGCGTACATTGGAGTTTCAAAAAATCAATAGTTGTGTTATCGCGATATAGTTGAGAGGAAGAGAGAAAGAAAGAGAAGGGCTACTTTTTTGGGACGGAAATTGTATGCCAATCTCGCGAGACAATTACTATGAATGTAGCCAGGTCAAAACGGTATCTTTGCGTATTCCGTCGATCGATAGCCCATCAAAGCGATTAAGCTACTACTCTTCAATCAGTTTTCCATTTGCATCGACAGTGCTTTTTCCGGACAATAGGATAGATTACTTTTTCAGGTGGCTTACTCGATACTGATAAAGGGACATTCGATTCGAAGTGACGTGCGAAAATGATCGATAAGTTAATACGCTCTTTAATCGTGTAAGAAAATCGAAAGTAAATTTGAAATTGAGATTTTGATCATTATGTTATGTCTTTTTTTGTCTTCTATAAAATATAATATTTATCATGATGCGTATATATCATTTGTCACTCCGTGGAATGATCGTAAAACTCATTGTAAAACGGAATAGAAACTATATTGGAAATTTCATGCTAGATTTTCGATTGGTTGAATTATTTTATCTTATCTTTCTAGCTGAAATTTCCCCCTCATATTGAAATATACAACATTAGATGTGGACATATTTTCCATCAAGAATGCTTAAGACATTGGCTTCAGCAGTAAGTTTTTGATAAATAATTATATCTTTTTCTAAGTCTAATTCTTCTTTCCATGCCTGTAATACAGGGTTTGAGGGTTTTATATATATATATATATATATATATATATATATAACGAATAAGCTAATACTTTGCTTATTTTATCTATAATCTACATCATTATCGATGATAACTATTGATTAGAAATCCCGAAAGAAGCAGACTCCGAAAAAGTTCTTTAAATACATCGTTCCTTTTTCTGTTGTATTTTTTTTCATTGTTCTCTTGACGAATGCATGATTGATGTTCACCGATTGGAAACAATAAACAATATTGATCCTCTTGATTGAATCTTCTTATAGAAAAAGAAGAGTTCAACTAAACAGAAACGCCAATCATCCGAAAGCTCCACGGATAGGTACGTTGCTATATCGTTTCATTTCTTTTTTCTTTTTAATTTGTGCACATGTATATTATTGATTTTTATTTTACAAATACTTGGCAAACTATTGGTAAATATTTTCGTAACGCTTATTTGCTTGAATCACTGTTTTCTTTAATTTCTGATTCGATATGGATCGATTACAGCTCTGTGGAAAAACCGAAAAAGTCTACGAAACATGAGAAAAATATTGCGGTGGACAAGGCGTCTAGAAACGAGATTTCCGAAAATGTCGCGATTTCCTCGCGAGAACCTCCTTCTCGATCGACCCGATCGCCGAAACGTGCGGACCGAACAATATCTCGAAACGAGACCCCGCCGTTGCCGCCATCGTCTACTAAATCAAAGAAAGACTCTCCGTCAAAGAAAAGCATGGCGGAGAAACGGGATAAGTCGCCAGTTAGCCACAACAGAAGTTCCCCGCCATTGCAGAAACGACACAGATCATCCTCTAGAAGCAGGGGCGATAGAGGAGGAGGAGGTGGTGGTGGTGGTAGTGGTGGTGGAGGAGGAGGAGGAGGAGGAAGATCTCCTAGGAGGTATTCGAGGTCGCGTCGCGCGAGTCCGTCTCCCAAACGAAGATGGGGATATTCCAGATCGCCCAGGAGGCACAGTAGATACTCCACATCTAGGAGCAGAAGTCGCTCCAGGTACGATCGTTACGGATCTTCCCGCAGGAGGCCCACATCACCCTCGACGAGGCGTAGAGAGGCCGATTCTCGACGTAGATCGCGCTCACCGAGGCGACATCAACGTCGACGGTCCCGATCACGATCCACCTTGAGCTATTCGCCGGTGAGAAAGAATCCAGAGCGTTACAGGGACATCCTGGAAGACCGAAAGCAGCGGCAGGATCAGAAGAGGAAAACAAAGAGCAATAAGATAAAGTCGCGTTCGACATCGCGAAGCAGGAGAACACAACAGATAGCGGTCGCGCCTAGGGTGAGTCTGAGGTCGTCGAGCGAAGATGAAGCTGATCTAGCGGATGACGAACAACCTGGCAAGCAACAGCAACAGCAGCAAGAAGAAGACGAAGAGAGGACGAGAATTATAGAACTAAACACTTTGAAACGATTGCAGAGCGGATTAGCAGCGAAGGCGCGGGAGAAAGAAGGTGAGAAGGTGATCACTCCCGTAAAGATCAAGATTGAGAGGCGAGAAGACAGTGTGTTAGATATCGCTCTGCCGAATGAACCGCATCGCGCCACCAGCTTTACCTCTTTACCTCTCACCCGCGAGGAGGCAGCGATCAAAATTAGATCGCCGAGCGAGTCACCACCGCCATTGCCCTTACCTCAGTGGAGAGAAGGCTTCCGATCATTCAATCGCCTGTATCCAGCAGGTCGCCCTCGCCAGCTTTACCTCTCACCCGCGAGGAGGCAGCGATCAAAATTAGATCGCCGAGCGAGTCACCACCGCCATTGCCCTTACCTCAGCAATCCAGTGGAGAGAAGGTTGATTCCGCACCTTCTGGCGGCGTGAAGATCAAAATGAATCGTCGATCATCGAGATCGCCAAATTTCTCCGGCAAGAAAGACTTGACGCCGATCGCGTCATCGAGGAAAGAGCACGTATCCAAGAGTAAATCGTCTTCTCGTTCTCCCGTGCCGACGATTATATCCAGAGAGGAAAACACGACGATGAAACTGCGTTCGCCAAGCGAATCACCGCCGCCATTGCCGAGCGTTTCACTAGCTAGATCAAATCAGCGTTCGAGGACGCCGAAGAAAAGCAAATCCTATTCTAGATCGGCGTCGAGATCGTGCACGAGGTCACCGTCCGTGAATAAAGCGAGATCTTCCAGATCTCCGTTCGGAGACAAGAAATCGCGATCCCGTTCACGGGGCAAAAAATCGGCCTCGCCTGATCGGCGACGATCGATCTCCAGATCGGTCTCTAGGACGAAAAAATCGTCACCCAAAACAAGAACGAAACGCTCATCTCGATCGAGGTCTTCCTCGACGGAATCGAAGCGTACAAGCGCGTCGAGATCGCCCTCGAGATGCAAGAAATCCGCTTCGCGATCCAGAAGCAGGAATCGATCGTTATCAAAGAGAAGATCCCGCAGCCGCTCCTCTCTGTCAAAGAACTCTAGAAGCAGATCGCTATCGCAGAAGAGGTCGCGCAGCCGTTCGCTGTCCAAGAAATCCAAGAGTCGCTCGCGATCGGCGTCGAGAACATCCAGGGACAAGGAGAAACGCAGCCGTACAAGGAGCAGTTCGCGTTCTTCCGTTCGGTAAGCCTGGTACTTAGCTGGCGATATGTTTGACGAGTGCTCATTAATAAAATTATTTAAATTTATAAAAACGGGACTACTAAATAATCAGTAAATCTTATCTTTCTTCAGCTCGAGACATAGTCGAAGCAGAAGCTTTTCCAGCTCGTCAAGATCATCGAGCAGCGCCTCCAGTCGATCGTCTCGTTCCAGTTCTAGTAGTTCTGCCTCCACTAGATCACGCTCGCCGTCTATACCCCGACGTCACGGTTCACCCAGCTTCCTCGACAGACGTCGCATCACAAGGTAGGTATTGCAAGCGTATACATTATTATTGTCGTGGTAGTTTTATATATATTTACCACGCACTCTACATGCGCGCGCGCGCGCGCGCGTTCACTGAGCTCGTGAGTCTATCACAGTAATCGTAGATTTTAATTTGTCACTGTATCAGTTGTACACTTTTTTTAATTTACGTTTTTCAATTTTCCTTTATTAAAGTTTTGTTATTATAATTAAAATCGTTATACATTATCGTATTATTACCTTATTACAATCATGAAAAGAAGAAATGCTACTAAAATAGTTTTTCAAGAAAAATTATTCAAAGTTTAGTGAAAAAAAGATGATCAGAAAAAATTCTTTTTCAACGAAAAACGGTCACGTTTGTCTCGATTTCGGCTTTCGATATGCTAATATTGTGTTTATTGTGTCCTACAGGGACAGATCGAGGGACAGACATAGAAGATAGAGTTATGGCTTCGCACAGCATACATATATATAAATATATACAGTAATAAGAAAAGTCTGAATATAGACTTTATATATAAATAATTAATACTTTGACCGTCAGGGACCGATTAATAATATCCTAAGTATTATTTAAACGCGATACGTACCTAATAACATTTTCCTTCATACAGTTGTAAGTTTTTTAACGCAAAGTAATTAATGCATTGTAATTAATGCTCTTTGCCACCGTCTGGGCAATCCATATGCATATCGTTGGATCCGCAATGTCGACATTTGGTGTGAATGAAAATGTTCGTACGATCAAAGTGGCCCTGCATTGGTCAAAGTATTAAACGACGCGATAATATAATTGATGGATATAATTATAATATGCCGATAGAGAGGTTTAATCGAAGTTGACAAATTTATTTGACAAATGTAATAGTGTGAAAGCGTAAAAACTTTTATGTAAACTATGACCAAATATTATCTCTCTCGCAACCGTATAAAAATAATCGTAATTATTCACAATTTCGCTCGTAGAATATTAACTTAGCTTATAGATGATCTTTCATTTCGCGTACTTCTAGATTTTTCATTTGTAAGATTTTTTTTCCTTTCTCTATCCCTCCTCCCCTCCCTTCGTCTTTCTCTTAATCAATTCACTCGTAGCTCGATCTACGAATATATCGTGTGTAGATTATAGCATGCGTGTATGTTTTAAATATTGTAAATTGAATTGTTTTCACACAGTAGGAGAGAGATAGGATTACTTTTATTTTATTATCAATCGCAAAATAAAAGATCTATCAACAGATAAACTTTTTTTTCTTCGTTATAATTTCTCAATTATAAGTTTCTTAGTTTTTTTGTTATATTTTTACGGTTTACGAGTGTTTCTCGCCCTGCTGAATTCTTCAGAGAAACATTTCGCAGACACAGGTGAGTTATTACATTTTTATTTTGTGAAGGACACCTCCTTGTCTCCTATTTCTTTATAGCTTGCTTAATTAATTTTTGTCACGCTGCATGTATGCATTCTATTAATATCTGTTTTACTTTTTACAATGATAACCGAATTTTCATTATCCACATGTAGATTAATCGACATATAATTAATAAGTGTTATTTCTAATAATTGACCATCATTGCGTGTTACTAATTATCATGATTATTAAAAATACTTGAACTTACATTATTAAATTGTAAATTTGTATTAAGTATCCAATAATCTTTTATTATATCTTATATATATCATCATAATCATAATTATTGATTTTATTATAATTATTTATAACTATTATCGTTGCCATTCGTAATTAACTTGATTCTCTCTAACACACAGGACAATATAATATTTTTCTATTTCTCGCTCTTTCAAGATTAACATCTGTATTTTCAAATAACACAGCTTTCCTTTTACAGAGAGGGAGAGAGATTGCGATATACTAATATATGTTTTCGTTTTAGTGCGAGGAAACGTCCAATTCCGTATCATCGACCCACACCGACGCCACCCTCGTCGCCGAGTAGCAGCAGACATAGCAATTGCTCCAGTACGCGTCATCGATCTAGTTGTTCCGCGAGTCGCAGTTCGTCTTACACGCGTTAAGACACGCGTTGTATAAATTCCTGATCTCGGAAGCCGATATTCCTCCTCGTATACTGGACTCGGAGCGGCGTAGCCCTGATCCTTTACCTGACTCGGAACCATCGAGTTTTTTCGCTAATTGATTCTCGAATGATATTAATTTAAATATGAAAATGCTGGGTTTTGTATGGAAGGGGTCGAAAAATGTTCCCAGAAGACGAGTTAAGGCTCTGTTAGGTTTTTTTTTTTTTTCTGCAACGACAGATTGCATCGGGTGTCCCGTAACGCAGGCACATGTAATTACTTTTTGCGAAACTCTGAAAGTCGTTCTTTTTCTCTCAGGTATTATTCGAATGGCGTGTTATTTAATGGATTTAATTTCACGTGTTTAATAGAAAGGAATTAATTTTTGAATGGAAACGCCATCCCGAGCATAGTGCATAAGTATGAATCCGCGTTGCATTTATTCATTTTTTCTTACAACACAAAGTATCATTCAACCGACTTTCCATTCATAAAAAAAAATAGTTGCAAACGTCGGTATATTCTTCGTCGTATTGATATCATCCACTTAGATGATCTTTCTATCGGGAAAGATATTGACATTTCTCGATCAATTTGCTATTTATTTCAGAATTTTCATTTTCGAGCGCGTTATAATTCTACGATCATCTAGTTTAATATTAACAAAATATCGCGGAGGAAATTGAATATCAATGTAGATTTTAATGTATTATACTCTCTCTCCCCTTCTAGTCGAACAAACTCGTATTAAAATGGTGCAGCAGCTTTGTCTAATCTTCTAACAATTTTCTCTAGAGAAGATTTTTAATTTAAAGTAAAGAGATTCGAAACAAACATACAGAACATGCAAGATAAGAGGATATTTTAATAACAAATACGAGAATTCTCTTCCTCTCTCCATAAAATGAAATTTTTGTATAATATTCGCCTCTCAATCTTTAAAAATGTAAAATTCTATTCAGAGTTTTTGGCGAATCGCTTCCAAATTACGCTAGTCACACAATTCGCTCACACTTATGTAAATGTGAATAATAGCAGAGAAAGATCTCTAGTGTAGCGTCCTTTGCTAGTCACTTGTGTGTAATATTTTGATATATAGTTTAGCGATCATTCAAGTATTTATTTGTGCAATTGTTTTTCAAGTGACGCTACAACACAAACTCTTAAACTCGTCAACGAATCTCGTGGATCAAGACCTCTTTAGATTATCTATAATTCGCGACAAAATTCGAGATATAATTCTATTTATAAATTTTATGTATCGTGTAATGCAGAAAACACTTGAACACGTAAAATACATACAAATGAAAATATATATCAGGATATCTGTTAAAACATGTGATCTATATAAAATCAGAAATAAAATTCTGTCTTGATTTTTATCGCGAATTATAGACCGTTTAAAGGGGCCTTTAAAATTTTATATATTCATAATTTATTTAGTGCAATGTTACAATTTGTTTTTTTTTTGTACATAGTCAAATTCTTTCGGAAAATTTTTCTGAAACAATTCGAGTCCTTTGCGTGATATCTATAGGCCATATTGAACCCTTAAGGGTCATATTTGACCTATTACTCTTTTTCTCTCACGGTTTCTATGCATATTTTGTTTTACTTTTTTTTTTCATTCTTACATTTTTTATCTTCAGATTTATAATTTTAGTTGATATATATAGGAATTATAAAAAATGGTCTCTAAGTGACTCTCTCTAAAATGCTCTCTAAAAATAATTTATTAATATTTGCACAAATTTGATGGCCTCCTGGACATAACGAAAAGATTTCAAGAAACACACGACATGCAAAGAACAATTCCAAACACGCAAAGGATTAATATATCCTAGCTCAATAATATGTATAATATATCAAATTTATTTATTTATTTATTTATTTTATAGAGCAAATCTCTTAGTTTTAGTGACCATGGTATGTAATACTGAGGTCTCCTTTTACACGCGATATTCGCAATTTGAAAAAAATACTCTAGTCATAGGAAGGTGTTGTCTCCGGAACCTGTAATTGAGGCCAGGCAGCAGCGTACCAAAAAGACAATTAGAACTACTAGTCTCGACGTGCGATTACGCGAAGTTAAGTCTCGAAGATATATGTATAGGGTTATAAAAAAAGATCTCCATACTCTTGGAAAGTCTACGTCGCGTTTACAATTAGATAGAAAAACTATATGTAGCGCTAGTTCTCACACTCGTAAACGACTGATTCCTTTTTAATGAAGAATCTCTCCGATCATTGATATTGGGTCATATTATACATATGAAATGTTGGAATAGGTACGACTTTATGAAAATTATTCTCAATTCGTAATCCTTTCTACATTCTTAAATCTTTTCTTAAAATAATTTCGTATTCTAAGGAATGCAAAAGATATTTCAAAAATCTTTTCGTTTACATACATTTTACTTTGGTTTTCTTAAATTATTGATTGAAAATTATTCATGTATGTAAAATGAACATTTCATATGCCTAATAATCTAATAACTATTCGATCAGCTGTTGAACTCCTATTATAGCGTAGTGTTCTTCGCATTTGAATATAGTTTCTCCAGTACGACGATTGTGTGATCGTTCCTTCCTTATTCATTTCCAAATATGCAGCAAAGTGTGGGAAAAATTAAATTCGCAAACAACGTTTGTCATACATTTTGCAATTATTTATAAATATTTTCGAAATGCCATTTGTGGATGTATTGAAAAATGGTGTGCGAAGAAACTAATTTCAAAACTCAAATCACATCTTCAGAGCAGAGAACTCTGATCTCACAAGTTCATCATCTTGTTGAGAGGAACACAATGTGGCTTTTGTGAATCCGATGTCTGTATCCGCTTATGATTTACAGCCATCGAATGTTACTGTCTCGTTAAAATGAAAGAAATTCGGATATTATATCTGTAATATACTCTGTATTGTTGTTGTGTGATTAAATCGAAAATCTTAAACACATACATGTCATATTTTGTTGTTGAAAACTTCCATATCTTATAAAAGTATATAGATGATTGTAAAATGCGATTATACAATTGATATATCATGGCTGACAATATAGATAAAATTAAAAATATACATAAAAATGATAAATAAACGTTGATATTCATTAAGTTCGGAAATATATCAGTGAAATATGATACTCCAATATTAGAAGAAGGAAGAATAATAATATAATTGATAAAAAATATAATTTTAAAAGAGGAAAATTATGTAATAAAAGTAAATTCCTATATAAATAAATAAAACAGTTGGCATGTAAATCTTTATATTTTTTATTTGTATATATATTCTCTTGTATCTATCAATACATCTATATAATTGCAAAAAAATATTAATTTCGCTTATGTGAATGTAGATCATGCAGATCAATATATTCTATATACTTTTTAGATAAACATTAACAAATTCTAACTGGAATGTATTATGTTTGCTGTACATATAAAAAAAGCACGTATAAAAACAGTATATCAACATATTTTTTGCATGTACTTACTATACAAAAATATCTATAACAATAATTGCAATAGATCGTATTTTTTTACTTCTCTTTTGAAGCTTTCGCTCTCTTATTTGCGAGATAAATAATCCACGCGAAACCGACGAGATTTACCATTAAGACCCTCAACTAGAAAATCAAATAAAACAATTAATAGATTCCTATATTTTTAGTCAGTTTTTAACATAAATTTTATAAACAATTTCAGTATTATAGAAGAAAGATTAATATAAATAATAAGAAATAAATAAAAAGAATGCATAGAGGAAAGATTTTCAGTAATATAAGTACAAATAATTTCATATAAATAAAAAAATTATTCACAAACTTGTATAAATAGAAAAAAAATTACTAATTAAAAATAAGAAATAATTAAAGTTTAATTATAAAAAAGAAATCTAATCTAAAAATAAAAGAATGTCAAAAAGTATTGTGATAGAATAACATATGAATATAGAATAACATTACCATTGGCGGAACATATTTTATATTGATATATTGGAACAGCGTCAAGTATTTCAAATTATCCCTCAATGTTGGCAAATATAATTTCTGCATCTGAATAATTGCCGCTCGATGTGAATTACCCTGCAAATAGATCACGATTTAGCATTAAAATGCAAACTAATAGTTTTTGTTAAATCAAGTGTTGCCTAATAATTATTTAATCCATTTGATTTGCTGTAGACTTTAATTTACTTACAATTAATTACAACTATTAAATTGTTTGTTAAGATTATTCACAACAGTATAAAATGTGAAAATTTGTAAAAACTGCTATCAGTCTATGATTTCTATACCTCAAAGATGGAAAGCATGTAGAGCGTAAGTGCCAGGTAACATGGCGTATAAAGGAGTCTTTCTATCAATAATATTCCCAGAGGATGTTTCACGAGTAATGGCACAAATGTGTAAAAGTAATGAGGCACTGGTCCTCCAAAGAACAGACTACAAGAATATTTGTGGATGAAAATACACTTTTGAATTCTTAAAATCTGCTTCATTAGAAATGTAAACAACATCTATAGTCTACCCAAACAGAGCGAAAGTCAGGACACTGTCTTCATTAAGCTGCCTGCCGGACAATTTCTGAGATACTATATTCCCAAGGGCTGCAATAATGCAACTGAAAATAATACAAATGTATTTATTAATACGAATAAATATATGTATTAATAAATGTTTAATATATTGAAAAGCATATTTTTTAAAATATACATCACAAGTGTATCTAGTTAAAAATTGTTATCAGAATTTGTTATCAAATTGTATATATCAGAAGTATATAATTAAAAATTATAATTGCCAATTATAATAATGCATATATTAATTATGTATATATTACATAATCAATACAATTCTGCTGCTTTGGTTTTACCTAGTTATAGCTTTTGTTTTCAAGGGACTGACGTAAAGCCGCTGTAAATAAGCACCAAGGAGATTGTAAATGATATTGGCTGGCTTGGAAAGCGACATTTTCTCGAATCAGGTATCTCGATCTGGACTTGAATCTAACAGAAGCGATTCGTATGATGATTCGCAAAATTGATTCGAGTATAATATATATACCAAAGTGCACACTGTTTACTTTTTGCGATTAATCGTCGATAATAAGTTGGTTCTAAAAGAGTGGACGACGCACATATCTTGGACAAAAATTGGATTTTGTTTTATATATATGTATTAAGTAATTATATTCTGATTCCTTTATATAAAGGATACACAGTAAATATAAAATATTGAACTGGAATACAAATTTTGTACGGTATGTGTATAGATCTAGATAACACTGCAGAAAATTTGCGAGAAGCATGTAATGGCTTCTCTCTGGTATAACGTGACATAACCTGTACGCAGATTAAAATAATCGTAAACAATTATAACGCAAATGATTATAATTGCAATATTGACTTTTAATTAGAATTTTTTAATACTTGTTATCATATATTGCTAATAATTATCTTTTTTTGCAGCTTGATTGCACTTGAATTTGTACGTAATACAGTATTGTATTTGTACGTAATACAGTACGTAATAAATTGCATATAAAATGCCACAGGGAAAGCTCAAAGTTAAAACAAAATTACCAGCATCGGTAAAGACAAAGGCCAATAAAGTTAAAAAAGGCCCTGCCATCCAAAAACGTGGAAGTAAGTAATAATAAAACTTTTAGAGTCGATTTACAAATGTTATAATATTACTAATACTGAAATTAATATAATAATATACTATGGTGTTTCTGACTTTTTAAAAGATGCTCCAGTGCAGCCAAAGAAAACAAGATTGCAGGAGGCGCAAAAGTTAAAGAAAATGATTTCGAAAGCAGTGAACACTACCATAGAAGATGAATTGCGAGAGAAAGCCATGGAGGGAAGGAAAACCCTTGCGAAGAAAAATGCTTCCAACTCACAAAAAAAATGATATATTGATTATGTATGTATTAATATATTGTATATAATAATAAAATAGTGTTATACATTTTATACAAATTATTTAAATCATTGAACAACAAAAGAAAAGAACAAAATTTTTTTTCTTTTATTTATTATGTATTAGGCTGTATTAGCTTATATTTAAATAATGCTTATAAATTATTGACAAATAAACTCAACGATTAAACCGAATACTTTTTCTATCAGAATAAATATTAATTAATAATAATTATCTGATTTACAAAGAAATATTATACAGGACGCTCTGTAGCACCGTGCCCTTTGTACTTTTGAAATAATTTTAACATAATTTATATCAGAACAAAAATAACTTCATATTGTCATTTTATCATCTTTTCACAATAAAGTACACAAAGGTTAATTTAACGGTTGTAAGTTAAAGTATTATATATTAGTATTCTTCCTAAAATACTTTGTCACATACTCTACCCCTTGCGAAGAAAAATGCTTCCAACTCACAAAAAAAATGATATATTGATTATGTATGTATTAATATATTGTATATAATAATAAAATAGTGTTATACATTTTATACAAATTATTTATATCATTGAAAAACAAAAGAAAAGAACAAAATTTTTTTTCTTTTATTTATTATGTATTAGGCTGTATTAGCTTATATTTAAATAATGCTTATAAATTATTGACAAATAAACTCAACGATTAAACCGAATACTTTTTCTATCAGAATAAATATTAATTAATAATAATTATCTGATTTACAAAGAAATATTATACAGGACGCTCTGTAGCACCGTGCCCTTTGTACTTTTGAAATAATTTTAACATAATTTATATCAGAACAAAAATAACTTCATATTGTCATTTTATCATCTTTTCACAATAAAGTACACAAAGGTTAATTTAACGGTTGTAAGTTAAAGTATTATATATTAGTATTCTTCCTAAAATACTTTGTCACATACTCTAAATCACAATGTATTAAGGCCACTGTAGGCATCATAGCACTCGATTTTTCTGGTTCTCGAAAAACTTCTTTCGAGATATTTTTACGGAGAAGCGACCTGAAATTTAAAGATTTATGTGACAAATCCCAAAACAGAGAGAAATGCTAAAATGAAAAGATTAGAAGCATTCAGATTTGAATATTTACCACTAATAAGTGTCCACTCTGTCGATTCTTACTGATTGCTGGAGTGGTACCAGTTCTAACTTCAATGACTCCTTCTTTACCACTGACTAGTTTGTGGGATACACTGTGATTTGATATTGTAAATTTAGTAAAAATAAAATTAATCAAAGCAATTAGTTAAATTAAATTTTCAATAGCCCAAATGTCTATATTAATTTCTCTAATTATTTGAACTTTGTCTAGAATATAAAGGAATATAGTGATAAATATAATGCATAAAAGTTTCTAAAATACTTACGATTCGGTATTGACAATTTTTAGAATATTTGGATTACTAGTAATATTGATCGCTTTTGTTAAAGCTTCTATTATATGCGGAACTTCCAAGATCAAGTCGCCCTATATAAAGTAGAAATGCATAAAAATATCATATATAATTTATTTTCTTATATTTATTGATTTTAAAAATCATTTATTCTAGTCTAAAATTGTATTGTTCTTACTTGGAATTTAGTTCATTCTAATTATAATTATTAATTACTAAATTCTTCACTCTCAAAAAATTTCGTATTATATTATAGATGAGTTTATGATATATATTTATTTATGCAAACTTTTTTATTTTATTATTAATTTGGAATTTCTGTATGTTAATTTAAAATATTAGGATTTAGTAAAATTCAAGGACAAAAACCTTATCCTTCTTCAATTCCGGTGGTATCCTAACGATGAGTAAATTATCGGATTCCCCGGTGACGACTAGTTCCTCAATAGCTTTGTAAGGCAGACGATGCTTAAGCTTGAAGGTCTTAAGTGTATCAAGGATGTACACTGCGTTCTCCGTTAAAATGAGCACTCTCTCGCGCGGTTTATAACCGTGTCGATCGTATTTAATGACGGGAGTTGCGTACTGAAAAGTGGCGATTTCAATTTAAGCTTCCAATTTCTTGGGCCAGTTTCAAATTCTTGTAAAAAAAGTATATCTAAATACTATAAAACTTATTTACAGAATTATTTTTACCTTTATGCTTTCTCCGGAAGGTAGAATATTATTGATAAAGCTCTGTCGTAGCGCTTTATGCTCCGCACCAAGACGATCGGTTAGGAATCTCGGACCTAAACTCTTTGCGTAGGATTTCTTTTTACCCTTGAACAAAGACTCCGCGAGAATCTTCAATTTGAAATGTTCTTTATCCTCTTTGCTCAACGCCATCCGGTAACAACGCGCTTTCCATCGCTTATACATTATGCGCAAATGCTCTGACGCCTGCCATATCATGTATATATATTTATTATGTTGCATAAAGAGCAAAAAAAGAAAATACTAAAGATAAATTATCTTACAACATATATATGTTGCATTAATTTAATTACATAATTGTAAAAGTAGTTCGTGTTTTATTTTGCAGAGAATTTTTATTTAAGATCGTACCTCTCTGCATGAATACGGGTTTGGCGGCCAATAGTTATTTAAGATGCCTTGTGGTAGTGTTTTCGAGAGTCTAATGAGCCATTGCGATTTCGCCAATTCGATAAATGCCATATTAATCGCGGTAGGCGGTCCATCCCGAGTGATGAAGCCTTCGATAAATCTGTAGCAAATTGAATTTTTTGACATAACAAATATATATAATAAAAATTTATGTATATATGAATTTTAAAACACGAAAATATAGAATGTAAGAAATGTAAAACATATATAAAGTATATTAAATGTAAAATATAAATAAATTGTATTCTCCATATTCGATAAAAGGAAAAGAATTAATGAGAAATACCTGCGAATAGTAATAACCGCTTGTCGTCGCTTTTTCGCTTCGCGTTTCGCGAGCCATCTGCGAATGTATTTCTGGAAAATAATCGCCGCTTCTCGCATCTTCAAGTATTTTCTTCTCGCTAATATGCACTTCCATTTGCTCTGAATAATAGCGGCTATTTCGTGTTTTTTTATTTGGAACGCGTCCTCCGTGTTAAATAATGTTTTAGGAAATCGAATAAATAATTTTGTGCTGGAACATAATTGAAAATCACGGACTTGAATACATTTGTTATTATTGATGATTTATCAAAATTATTTTCATAATTTCCATATTCGATTATTCTGCCAACATATTTATGTGTGCGTATTTAAATTATATATTATAATAAATATTCTAAATCTCTAGTTCTAATATCTAATTTAGAATATACTTTTAGTATAACACAGCCTTACTTGCCCATCCTATATTCATCACGCTCATAACCGAGAGCACATACAAGGACTTGCACGCCATCCTTGGCAGGGCCGTGGTAATTCGGCCAAGTTTCCGAACAGAGGCACTTGTAACGCTGCAAAAATTGCTCATATGGTCTTCGATATGCGAAACCGGCACGCCTCACTCGCAAATTTTCCATCAGTCCCAAGTACTTCACTTGATGCAGCACAATTTTTTCATTGAATTGATCTAAAGAAGCGCAAGTTCGATGAATTTCGGGTGATAATATTCAGTTTTCGATCTTTTTATGGTTTCGCTCGTGTTACTTCCATTTATTCTCTTTCTTTTTATATTTATGTCGAGTACGAAAATTAAAGATAATTTATTTTTATATATTTATTGTATATCTTAAGTTATATATTATCAATTTAAAAAAAAATATTACATATTTCATAGGAAACTACTGCTTCATTTCAATCTCATTTCACATTAGTTTTACTTACTGGGCAGTTTAAAATCGTTGGGTTTGATGCAACGAATGTAAGACGGTTCTTTGCCCATAAGGATCTCGACCAGATTATTCAAGCTGTTTTTAAATTGAGTTATGGCAGTCTCTGGACGTTTCTTACTAGTTAAGTCTTTCACGTCAAATACAGTCTGTAAGAAATAAAAAAATTGCAAACTAGCCAAAAATGTAGAAAACACTCCGGATTAAAGAAAACATCTCCACAAAGAAATAAAAATTATTTCTGCAAATAATTTTTTGATTTTAAAAATGGACAACTTAAAAAATTGATAATTTAGAAATGCTTTCTTTTATAGATTTTACTATAGAAAGTTTTTCCCATGGATGTCAAACTCCTACCTTTGTGATAGAATTCGTCGTGTGCGACATAACTTCACGTAAGTCTCGGAAGAGTAGATCATTATTTTTCTCAAGAAATCCACGTACGTTATACGTTACGTCACCGGCATAATGCACCAATCTGAATTCCTGAAATGTCAAACTTATTTTCAATTTTACACAAGTCGCGCAAAATAATTATCATTAATATCTGATAAAATAAATATTATAAAAAATTAAAATAAATAACAGAAATTTAAATAATTGAGAATAAATAAAATAAATAAACTGAAATAAAATATAATAATTGGAATTTTTGAAGAGATAATATACTTGTCTCTTCAGTGTATTTTGAAATATTATTATTCAATCTTTAATAATTATAAAGTTTATAAATAATTAGTCAAGAATTTCTCTTCTTACGTCTCGGCCCATAATTTTTTGTGTTTGTATATCCGCCTTCTGATGACTGATGTAGTGAGGATGATTGTTTAAATTTACATTTAATTTCTCCAAAAAACTCATATCCGTCGGTTCTCCAGGTCGCAGACACTCCTCATCCATTAAAGATATTATTCCTGCAACGGCAATGATTAATTAACTATAGCGTATAATCACGGATGTGATTGACCGAACTTTATATGCAAACTTTTATAAAGATTCAACCTTTATATTTCTCCTCGATTAAATCACAGATAATTTTATTGTTGAAATATTCTATGTTCTCCCAAGCTATCCCTTCGCGCAAATACTCTTCTTGTTCTGACTTTAGTGTTAACTGGATGAATAACTGTTGTAATTTTTCGTTGCAGAAATTAATGCAGAACTGTTCGAAACTGAAATGATAAATAAATAGTAAGTTACCATTAATTAAAAACATAAGACATAGCATACTTGTAATTGA